TCTTCACTGCTTGAACGGCATTTCAGACAATCAGATTCAATTATGTTGTTTAATCCATCTTAACGTCTGTATTCTTTCTCTCATATTGAGTGTCAAGGTGAATGAGACGAAATAGTACAAGTTCTTATTTGGTTCGAATTTTTTAAAATTCATTTTCAAATGCACAATTTAGGAGAACCACAACTTTTATCTTTTAAATTATATATTTCATTTACTTTTATAACAAAATTACTGAAAATCTAATTTTTAGTCAAACTGAATAGGGTCTAAATTTAAATAATAGTCAGCATTTGAGGATGAATATGCTTCAAGAAATTGAATGGGGACCCAAATGCCGTATTTCCTAAAGTATGGGGGACCTCTGATGTCTGTTAATTTTTAAATTCTGAAGCCACTCATTCTACATTTTCCTTTTCCCAACACTTCAGAGGTGAACAATTTTCTTACTCTGAACCACCTCCGCAAAAAATACACGCGCCACCGCCCTCTAGCCGGCCATGGCTTCTTTCCCACCTCCACCGCCGCAACAACAACAACAACAAACCAAACGCTTCAGGTGATCTTCATTAAAGAAACAGACAAAGAAAGCAGTTTCTCTCAATTTTTTTGTTTCTTTTCCCAATTACAAGATTAATTAGTTTTCTCATTTATTTCATTGCAGAGATTTATACAACAACACAGACAGTCAGATTTCACTAGCAGTCAACACCCTAAATCTCCATGATCATCACACTCCCTTTATGCCTCCTTGTATTTTCTCGAGTCTTTCACTAGTTTAATTACATTTCTAAGAATTAATCATAATTAATCATTCCCATTTTCATTTTATCCTTTTTGGTTTCAGTACAAGTGGAAGGATTGGCACCTGGTCCTGCTCAAGAAGAAAACCAGCTGGATTTACAACCGAATTTCGGGTTAGAGTCCAAGAAAAAGAGCCGGAAAGCGCAAGATTTTCTAGAGAACTCTAATAATAACAATTCCCAGATATCTTGTGTAGAATTCTTGCAGGCACAATCGGTATCAACCGGACTCGGGTTGTCGTTGGAGCCAACTTCGGCTCTTCTAGGGCTTGTGAGCGATGATCTTGATCGTGAGTTGCAAAGACAGGGTGCTGAGACTGATAGATTTATCAAATTTCAGGTGGGAAATTTCTGTTCTACATTTTTATTTATTTTTTTGTCAAAGAAATTTTTTTATTTATTTTTTCTCTCTAAAGATTGTACAGTGAGATGTAGAAATTTTGCTTTCATGAGTTATATAAATGTCTGCATGTGCAATCAAGTGTCTCAGTACAAACTTGAAATTGGGGAGTAAAGCTTTTAAGGGAATTCTTTTTCTGATTATTTCTGGTGGTGTTTATATATTTTATTTGTTAACTCGTGTTATTACAATTGGAAACTATTTCTTGCATTGATTGAAATCAGAAACTATTTAGTCTTAAATTATGTTTTCTGTACTTATAAATAACGGCATTGCTCATAGATTGATTGAGAGGTTTTTGCTAGGCCCTTTAGGGGACCTTAGCATAATGTTGCCATTTGAAGATGTCTTTTTATGGATATTCATTCGTCTTTGGTGCAACTTGAATGTGGGATGTGAAAGCGTGTTTATCTCTTTATGAATGGTGTGCAATAAGGTGTGAATCGAGAGAAAAGGATGTCATAATTGGAGTTTTAAATAAGACGACCTTTTGATTTATTCACTTCTGTGAATGGAAAATTGTTACATGAGTTTTAGTGTCATCTTTAATTTTTGCTGCTGTTGATCGACTGCAAGTTAAATAACGTTCATATTGGCCTGTCCATGTAACCCATGGGTTTGCACGTTTGAGTATTGCCACCGTGCTATGTTTCGAATCTTATTTGGGTTGCTGGATTTATTATGAAGATGTGCAATGTCTGGGGTTTGGATAATGGCATTAGTATCATGTTTAACACGGAGTAGTGATGTAACATCTAATATTACCTTTCTCATGCAGATGATTAAGCTGTAAACTCCTTATTCATATTTCATGTTAGCATGCCCAAATAGTTCTGTGTAATTGAATAGCTTTATGTTTTTGTGCTTTCTAGGGCGAGCAATTGAGGCAAACTATTTTAGAAAAGGTTCGAGCAACCCAACTACTGACGATCTCATATGTTGAAAGTAAAGTCCTGCATATACTCCGGGAAAAAGAAGCAGAAGTAGAAGGCATCAACAAGAAGAATATGGAGCTTGAGTTACTAATGGAACGGCTTTCTTCAGAGGCCCATGCTTGGCAGCAACAGGCAAATTACAATGAAAACATGATTAACACCCTAAAAATTAATCTACAGAAGGCTTGTGCACAAAATATGGGCGGTAAAGAAGGGTGTGGAGATAGTGAGGTCAATGATGCAGCCTCGTGCTCTGTCAGTCGAGCCATGAACTTTCACGTGCTTTGCAAGGATAAAAGTGAAATGAAGAAGTTGATGACATGTAAGGTTTGTAGTGTTAATGAAGTATGCATGCTTTTGTTACCTTGTCAGCATCTCTGCCTGTGCAAAGAGTGTGAACCTAAGCTTAGTATTTGTCCCTTGTGTCAGTATCCTAAGTACAAAGGCATGGAGGTTCATATGTAGTGGATTAATATGACAATGTTCGACTTACATGCATTTATTGACTGTTTCATTTTGTAGAGCTGTTTCTTATCCTCTGAGGATGGTAACAGCATATTCAGCTAAGCTTAAAAAGTTTACTTATAAGTATATAAGGAAATTTTAAAACAAATAACTTGTGATCAAATGTAAACATGAGTTACTAATTTTGACAGTAAGATAATAGTTACTTTCAAAAGAAGTAACTTGTTTTATGTAAGATCACGTCCAAACCTATATGGAAATAAAAGGTTACTCGAAGTAACTTTTACTTGTCTTTAAGCTTAGACAAACATGCTCCAAGACTTGTTCAGTTTTATGACTTTCTGTCTAGCCTTTTGTCGTATATATACTTTTAAAAACTCTACTATTGATGGTTTAACATGCATTTACTTATGTAATAACACGCTGCTTTGCTACCTGTTTTCAATTGAACTATATGTATTGCATTTTAGTAACTAATTTTTCTGGATTTATTCATAAACCCGTTGGCATGAATTGATTCATAAACCCGTTGGCAGGAACTTTTCATAATATTGACGAAGAGTAAGATGTTTAACATCTGTCTTTCCCTTAGTAAAGTAGTTCGTCTTTTGTTCTTTAGTCTAGATTGGTTATTGCATACGTTCTTTTGTCGTCTGAGTGATTAACAGTAATACTTCATTATATTGCACTTACAATACAGATTACAGCATGATATTCACACGTATATATATTGTAACTTCATGCCAATAAACAAGAAATCGGTTATTAAATATTGGCTACTGTTTTATATTAAATTAAACAGCTTATCTAATTGAAAAGAAGAATACTGTTGAAGTAAATGAAAATAAGTGAAATTGTTCTCCTATGCAGAGTAATGGTTCTCTGTGATTTATTCAAGATATCGGAGATAGTCCTTAAATTGCTTGTGATTTACTTTGTCTCCGGGGTGTTTGTCCCATTATTCGTTTAATTACATCGTCTGCTGATACTGTCTCTTATTTTGTCCATGCTATACTCGATCTTTTGCAGATATAGAAAGATAATCTTGAGGTAGTACCATATACTCCTGTTGTTGTGCTTACTTTTGAAATGAAATTATACTCCTGTTGGCAGTCGAAAGGTATTAAATTTTAAGATGCATATGATCTGTTGTTTAAATGGGGCAGCATCTCATATGCTTTTTGCAGAGATATATTGGCATGCATAAATCTATCAATTCGCCAATAACTTTCTTACCATATAATGGATTATTTAGGGGGCCATAAGCCATTTTTGTTTACGAGAAAGGTGTGAAGAAAACATGTATTCCTTTTTCCTACGGTGACAAGTCGATGTAGCTCTCATCTTGAGAGTAAATCGCTATAAGTTCTTTGTGCTTTGCTCTTTTGCTCTCAAAAATAGGAATTAAGTTTTAATCCGTAACAACCCACCTCCACCCCTGAATGAGATGGAAGAATGACAAACCAATGTGGGTTTTAGTTTGATTCTTTTGTTTGTAACAGGTCTGTAATTTAGACACATAATTACATATTTGCTCCTAAAAATGGAGAAACAAGTGCAATCCTGTGAAATCTCATGTTCGTGGTTGATTAATGTTCGCTAAAAATGTACACCTCAAGCGGATTAGTCGCATTCAATTAATTAAGTGGACTAACGAGTTAGCATTGTCGATCGCACGAGGAATGTTTTCTTTTAATTATTCAATAGTTAATTTAAAATTCTAACAATAAAATACACACAATTGAATTTTGATGTTGAATGTGTAAGAAAAATGGTTTGAAGTTCAATTAAAATAATAAAACTAACAATTATAAAAGTAGTGAAAATTTTGGATTATGAAAGATTTAGGGATTTATGAGTTCATTTAACCATCGTCTAATTAATTTCACAATAAGTCAAAAAGAAAATTATCCAATTACAACATTAAAGCTGATTTTCCTATTTTAACTAAGAATTAATCTATCCAATTACAACATTAAAGTTGGTTTTCCTATTTTAACTAAGAATTAATCTATTTGTACAATTGTGGTTGACAATGATGGATGACAACATTGATGTTATGTCAAATACCGAAATTAATCAAACTAGGTTAAGCTTCCTCAATAATCCTAACATCAAAAGATTTAGCTCATTGTATAAAAATGCTAAAAAGGAGAAGAGTTGGAGAAAAGATTGTATGATAATGATAAAAAAGGAGAAGAGTTAGAGAAACATATTACAAGTTTAAAAAATATAATAAATAAAATATAAGGCTAAAGATAAAATCCGCCTTTTTTGTTGGATTCTTGAATATTGGAATGATTTAATCTTGATTTCCCTAAAAATCTCTCAACTGTACTTGTTTTCCTCCTCCTGTCTCTTCTCTCTTTGTTCTGTGTATTGAATGAGCAATGAATTAATGGGGGCAATAATGGTTGAAATGGAGGCATCCAAGAAACACCTCAAAATGGCCCCAACGACTCCGGAATTTACAAAAACTTCTGCCCCCGAATACACAGTGCTCGTGCACCGGGTAGTGTGCCTTTGGGTTAGGCAGCCCAGCGTGCGCATCGGGTACCCGGTGTGTATGTGGGAACCTTAGCCGCGGGAAATACATAGAAATATCCTAAATTTAAAGCCATATTCAAGAATGGCCTTTGATCATTTTAAAGATTTGAAGTTCCTAAAATACCCTCAAGATAAAAAATTGTCTAACAAGTCA